GGGTAAGCAGGAAGAGAGAATGATGTTTACGCGGCATTATTGTGACAATAGTGAAGAATATAAGTTTCTACCCAACTGTCTCCACTGTTCCTTCCACACAGAAATGTGATTTTGTTCTGGGCAATGGCTTGCAGTTTTCCTTGGGATGTACATAAAGGTTTTGAGGGACAGGAGGTTAGAGAGCCCTCTCGGGGTCCCTGAGGGCAGAGGCTGCGCCTGAGACCTACTACACTGACACTTTTGGTTGCTTTCTCAGCACTGGTTTGAACTAAGCTGGCCTTTGGCTTAGCTCATCACCATGACAACCCGGAAGATCCTTAAGAGACCCTCTAGTCTGGTTTCTAAAAACATGGGAATTGGGTCCAAGAGAGGAAACAAATTGTCTCAGGACACATAGTGAGTCAGCTGCTGGGCTGAGGAGAGAACTTGATTAGTTCTAGGCTCTCCTGGTATCTTCCTGACTTACTCAGTGACAGATGGCCCAGGTAGAGGAGGAAAGGATGGGGAGTGGATAGTGGATACTATCCACGTTTCCTACAGTGCTGGTACAGGGCTTATTACAGTTCAGGAACTGGGGAAAGGGACACCTGGGGACAGCTTCCAGTTGGTCTCTGACCCTGGGAAGACCCAATTCCCTTCCAGGCTATGCCCTGGACAACCAAGACTGGGTTGAAGACTCAAGTCAGTAGAAACCCTCATCAATTCTTCCGGTCAGATTCCTCCCAGTTCCCCCCGTTTCAATCATCCAAGGAAGCCAGCACCCTGTGATAACACGGGGCCTCCTGTTTGGGGCCAGGAAACATGAGTGGAGTGGACACTGCTGTCCCTGTCTAGGTCTCCTGGCCTGAGCGAGTGCCCCTGCTCCCAAACCAGAGCACACGTCCAGAGCTGAGGGCTCTCCGCTGTGCCTTTTCCTTCTCTCAGCCCACACAGCCAGGTCATGAAATGCTGGAGAGATGAAACCCTGTCTAAGGGACCCATGGTGGCTACTCACTGACGGATATGGCACCAAAAGCCAGTGTCCGTGTCATGGTGGGGCAGACTCTGGTGTTTCAACGCCCACTCCATAGTTCCGTCACAGCAGGCTGGGCTGGATTTTGATGAAAGCTACCTTTGCACACCCAGCTCTTCTCCTGCCCTGTTTGCTTTACCCGCTTCTAGATTTCTCTCCAAAGTTCCTCACCGCTGGTCCTCTTGCTCAAGAGCCCCCATGTCAGGCTTTGTATCTAAGGCGATTTGTAAGTTTCTGAGCTGTCCTCCATCTCCCCAACCCCACGTGCTGGGAGAGAGCAACAGAGGGTCCCAAACTCAGCAGCAATTTACTCTGGTGAAGAGGACTGAAGTTTCCCTTTGTTCTGGGGCACTGCGCTATTCCCGTGAATTCAGGGGCTCCTATGGCGCCCAAGTCCACTGATCAGACCTGAATCAGGTGTCCACTACCTGCCCAGCATCTGGGGTACACAGTGGGATGGAGACGGCGTTCTCTGACCCTCTGTTAAGTTAAAAATCTTCCTATGACACCCTGCAGCAACAGCCACCCAACAGCAATTGAGTGCACAAAACCTTCAGAGTGCTTTTAATTTCTTTTAATGTGTAACAGTTATGCCTGAGTTACAGAGGCAGCGCTTACAAGCAGCAGGTAGTTAAAGCAAATACCAGTTTCTCTCTCTAATCTACTACTCCATATAGCTGAATAAATTATGGTGTGATTATACTTTAACACACGCCCACACACACACACACCCTACTCACATCCTCACACACACACTCACTTCCGCGTGGAGGAAAATGGCTGTGAGTCAACCCCGGAAGCAACGACGTTGCTGTTCCTAGGAAGAAGGAATGATCTAGAGCACTATGTGAGTGTATTTCCCAGGTTGGGTGGGGGTGGGGGTTGGATTGGCCAAGTCAGAGTTGAGAGAAGCATTGAAACACACAGATGTCTTGGAGCATTTCAGGATGGCTGCTGGACTACCCCCATTTGGTCTTGATTTGGTTCTTCTATAGGAGGGGAGGGAAGAAGACCTGTGGACCCCAAGAACGATGTTTCCAATGAGGAAACACATATTCAGGAGCTAGGTGTGAACGTCAGGCCTGAGCGAGTATCCAAAGACAGTTTCTTTTATTTTAGCTGGCAACCATGGAGTTTCTCAAGGTCTTGGATCCAGATGTCAAGGTCTTACCAGCCTGATGCAGGCCAACGCTGGATGCCGGTGCAGGCTTCAAAGCCAGGACTGGTCCTGAACTCCAGCCATAGTCAGGTTGGCCACCAGACCTTTTCACTTGTCTTCTGGGCAAACCTCTTTCATTCTTATTTCCTTATTTCTGTCCCCTCTACTCTTTTTTTTTTTTTTTTGCGGAACCAGGGATTGAACTCAGGCCCTTGCGCTTGCCAGGGAAGCACTTATTCCACTGAGCCATCTCCCCGGCCCCAGTCCCCTCTACTCTTTAATGTTCCTCTGGCAAAAGAATAGCAAAAGTGAATCAAGTAAAAAAGAATATAAAAGCGTAACTTGGTTCTTACATGTCACTTTGTCTTCTTCGTAGCAGAAGAGATACCCAATGAAAGAACAAAGCAACAAAAATGAAAGACTCCAGTACATCCTGGAATGTACGATCTGAAACACACAATATGCACATATATCCCTACAGATGGTCCCTGACACTAGCACGACACACACTGTGGGGGCTTCTTTCCTTTTTTAGTATATATATTTATATATAAAAAGTCAACTTCCTATAAACAAACAGCACATCACCACATTTCCAACTAATGTACAATGAGCTTAGAAGAGAGGCCCTCCCCCTAGGTAGGACCTGTAGCTACTTGGGATTAAGTTGGAGAAATCTCTTATGTTGCTATGAACTCTATTTACAGGGATTCGGAGGGGGGCTCTGCTGACAAACCCCAAAGAGACTGAGGCCCTGTTCTTCTAGTATCATCTCTCTGGTGGAGCTGTGGGCTACTAACACAAAGCTGAATCTTATAGACTGAGTTGGATAGACATATGAACACAAGAGCTTTTAAAGAAAACATTTTAGGGTCAAGGGCCCCAAACAAAATTTGGCCCCTTTTCAAACAAAATTCGGCCCTTTTTCAAACAAAATTCGGCCCATTTTCAAAGAAAATTCACCCCATTTTCAAACAAAATTTGGCCCATTTTCAAACAAAATTTGCCCCAAAGAAAATTTGGCCCATTTTTAAACAAAATTCGGCTCATTTTTAAACAAAATTCGGCCCATTTTCAAACAAAATTTGCCCCAAAGAAAATTTGGCCCATTTTCAAACAAAATTCGGCCCATTTTTAAACAAAATTCGACCCATTTTCAAACAAAATTCGGCCCATTTTCAAACAAAGTTCGGCCCATTTTCAAACAAAGTTCGGCCCATTTTCAAACAAAGTTCGGCCCATTTTCAAACAAAATTTGGCCCATTTTCAAAGAAAATTTGGCCCATTTTTAAACAAAATTCGGCCCATTTCCAAACAAAATTCAGCCCATTTTTAAACAAAATTCGGCCCATTTCCAAACAAAATTCGGCCCATTTTCAAATAAAATTCGGCCCATTTTCAAACAAAATTTGCCCCATTTTCAAAGAAAATTCGGCCCATTTTCAAACAAAATTCAGCCCATTTTCAAAGAAAATTCGGCCCATTTCCAAACAAAATTCGGCCCATTTTATATTAAGTGGCCAGTGGCTTGGGACAACTTCTGAGGTGTTAGATGTAGTGAGAAATCATTTGGTTTATTCCCAAGTAAATTGTAGCTCCATTTCACTGTGGGGGAAGGGGCACCTCACTGAGATTGGTCCTCACTTTGGAATGCTACCTCCCGGGTGGGTGAGGCAGTTTTGGTGTCGCCTGCCTGAGGTCCCCGCTCCTGAGCCACAGAGGGCAGAAAGAGACTCAGGCGTATCCAGAGCCAAGTCTCCAGGGGGAGAAGTGACATTCAAGGAATGTGGATGAGGATGTGGCTGGTCTTCTGCAAGAGCTGCCTTTTGGCTCCAACAGCTACAAAAGCATGGACTAAATCTCCAAGGGAACAACGTGCTCTCCTCTTCTGTCCAGAGCTTGAAGAAACCAGTCTCTTACACTGGATGCTCCAGTTGAAAATCTGACTGCCCTTGACAGGCTACACCTGTCTGGCTGCCCACCACTGCTACACAGTCTATTTGTCCCTAGTTATTAATAGGTTTCCCTTAATGATTAAGACACAAGCCAGCCTCTTCCTAACCTGAGATCGGCTTGATGTGACTAGGTCTGACGGGAAACGGGTGAGCTCTTGTCCCACAGCTGACATCCTTGGAGATGTACTAAGCATCTTGCCAAGAGGAAAAGATCTAGATTAGCTTCCAAGGCAGTGCCCTTTCCTGTAGGAATGTCTTGCTGGCTGAGGGCTAGCAGCATGGACCGAGCAGAGGGGAGGCCTTATGGGCTCAGCTGGAGACAAGTAATGGGGTCCCGTGTTTGTGGATTCAGGGCTGTCTCCCTTACAAGGTCCTGTAACCAGCAGCACTTGTAAAGGTGATCCGCGCATAGGTGGTAGGATTGTGAAGGTGAAGATGAATACAATTTTAACAGGTGAAGTGTTCCAAGGGAGAAGGACGGAGGGCTTGAAATGTCCCCCACAAGTCCCAGCTCTAAAGAGAGTGGCACTTGAGGAAGCCACTGGGTGGTTAGGGAAGGTACCTTTCCACTCTCCTCTACGACCTTTGGCATCTTCCTCTGTCCAGGGTTGGTGGCTTGAAACTTGGCTGTGTATACCCTGCTCAACTATGCCCATGCAGGAGATGGAGGCCTCTTGGCCAAGTGAGTCAAGCTTGAAAAGATATCACTCTGGGAAGGACAGGGACATACTCCCACCAAAATGCTAAGGGGATGTAGTTAGTCGATCTGCAGGTCCAAGAAGCCTCCTCCAGAGCTCCAGAGGAAGCTCTCTGCACTTCAGCAGCATCAAGGGACTGGTGGGGAGATGACGGTCCCTTCCCAGGGTATGGGGCT